TTTAGGGAAAATTTTTCTCCAATAAATATTGTGCTTCAAAGTAAAAGAAACATCATATATAAGTTGATTATTCTATCCACTCATTAGAAATAGAAAATATGTCTTGTAAATTAAATCTAGCATTTAAGTTCTAAAGTTAGTATTCAAGGGAATTCTCTTAAATACATTAAATTGGTGTAAAAGATGCACCTTTAAATTTTTTTTAAAAAGAAATTAACTTTAAGAAATATATAAATTAATTCTAAAAATTCTTTAATAGAAAAAAAAAGCATCACATATAACAAAAAAAAAAAAAAAACTAAAGTCAGACAAGTTGAGAGCACAACAAACATGAATTGAATATTAGAGTCCAAAAGGAAAATGCAAGCAAACCACCCATTTGCTTGTTCATTGCATTTGAGTTGATGGATCTTAAATCTTGTTAACTTCTTTGCTAGCTAGTGCTTATGATTTGGCAATCTTTTCCATCTTTAGCTTTTCTTTATTAAATGTTTTTCAGATCTAGGAGCTTCCTCCACCTCTGCTTTTAAATGCCAATTGAGCTTTCTTTACCAAAACTTTTAGTTTCTCTTATATGAGAAGCTGCATTTGGCATGTGCATATGTCTCAATGTGGCAGTCACGCCGACAAAGCATGCTAACAGCTAGATATCCTTATTATTTGATTAAGATTTTAAATACAATAATAAAATATGGATTTGATTAGAGAATGTAGATTTTTATATCAATTTGCATTAAAAAATATAAAAATGTCTATAAAAAAACTTATATATAATGAGATGTATTTATTCGTATATAAGTTTTATATATTATATTTATACAAAATTTTAATCATTTATCTTTTTATTTTTAATAATTAAAATTTATTATAATTTTTTAGATGAAAACAATAATTATATTTAATAAATGTAAATAAACATTAACTATTAAAAATAAAAAATAAAAAAATTAAAATTTTGTGTATTTAAATAGTTTTACAAATATTCATACTTTTCTAATTTGATTAAGGTCTTTTTCTTCAAAAATTGGATCTTGGCCTGCCCACAAAATGGAGAGCAAATATATTATTAAAAAAGGCAATTCCTTGAATGCTAAGCTAAGCGCATACTTCATTAATGGATTAAACAAAAATTACCAATTGTTTATGGATCACATAGAAAATTTATCAATACAAGAAGAACAATAGTTTTCTTGATGGTCAATACATTACAAGTGGTTAAAGTCTATAGTCCACTTGTCTATGGTCATATTCCTCAGACATCCGAGTAGTTAGTAAGGATTCATTTTTACGATCTATGCTTTTGTTTGTTCCATATAAAAAATAGTTTATTAATGAAGTCCTCTTAAGTTAAGCTTTGATTTGCCTCGTTCCAGAATTTAATTTCTCCAGCAGCATTTTAAAATTTGAGTAATTTTCACATTATTTAAAAAGAAACGAGACCGTAAACTATTTAAATAATTTAGTGAAAATTTTTTAATATAATTAATAAATTTTAAAGTTAAATTATATAACATATAAGTAAAATGAGTTAAAAAATATAAAAAAATAAAATTGTATTACACAACTTATATTAAAAAAAAAGGTAACGAGATCGCTTTATTGATAACTTTTTTCAATAATAAGTCTTAACACTCAAAGTTCAAGTTATCAAATAAGTAAATAAATTTACACATGTTTTTTAAGTGAAATTAATTAATTTGTCTTTATATTAATTTTTACATACTTTAAAATTAATTTTTCTTTAGATAATTTCAAGAGTGCACCTTGACACAGTACATTTAATAAAATTAGTTTTCTTTGTTATTGGCCTAAAACTTAAACTTAAATTTAAATATCAAATGATATTTATTTATTAATAAATTTAAATTGTAATCCTTCATTTATATTTTACTATTATTTTTTAAATGACGTTGTGAGAAGGCTGTTTAAAGGGTTTCGAACATGGTTGTTGGTATCGTTTGGTTGATACAGTTGGTATATATCAATTTTTACATTAAATTAAAATGATACAAAATTTAATTTTGTTCTATTTCGATGAAATTTTGATGTACGGATCAATATTTTGATGTACTAATTGGTATATAAAAAAATTGAGTTGTACAACTCAATTAAAATTTAAAAAGGATAAATTTTATTTTTAGTTTTCAACTTTAATATTTTGTATAGTTTTCATCTTTTAACTTATTTATTTATTTTTTTAATCTATCAACTATGAAAAATATATTTTTTAGTAATTCTATCAGCTATTCTGTTAAATTTATCTAAATATGTATATTTTTAATCTCTTAATTTAAAGTGAAGGGACGAAAAAAATACATATATTAAAGGTTGAGGTCTTAAATATTAGTTTATCTTATTATTATTTTAAATTTTGATATTTAATTTATAAAAATATATATTTATAACAATAAATCTAAAATAATACATAAAAAATTATAATATTAAATACATATCATTCTAAGAACAAAAACTTATACATGTATCAATGTGACATTCACAACTTTGTATTCGAACGTGAACGCAAGGCATAGACATTTCAAATTTCAAAATGGGCTAAGGACCACCCGAGGGCATTAATGTAAAGCAGACAAACCACCAGCGCATTTATGTAATCAAAGGGGGAAATCAGACAGCACGAGAACTTGCTTTACTCTCCCCCAGTCACCCACGCGCCCAATACTACCGAACCTGGCTAAACCTCGTCAAAATGCCTCGCCACGTCAGCAAAACCCAACGAATCCGATTGGCCAATCGACGTGTACTCTTCCCACAGCGAGTTTATTCATTTGACCACTCTCGCGCGTCCCTCATCTACCTCCCAGATTCCTGACCTAAGCGCCTCAATTTTTTTTTTTATTTTGTTAATTTACATTTTTTTAAAGTTTTTCTTGTAATGCTTAATTATAAATCTATATTAAAAAATAAAAATTAGTCTTTAATTTATTATTTATTTCATTAAATTATTTGTAATAATTTAATTTAATTTTTTTTATTTTTAAAATTTAAATTTAAAATAAAATTTTAATAATTTATATTAATAATAATTAAAATTTTTTTATTCCTATATATAATTTTTGTTAAATATATTTATTTGATAAAAAATTTTAATTGTTATTTATATAAATTATTAAATTTTTACTTAAAATTTATATTTTAAAAGTTAAAAAATTAAACTAAATTTATTAATTACAATATTAAAATTAAAATTAAAATTAATATTTATATTTTTTAACACATATTTATAATAAAAAATAATCTTAGGTTAAAACTTAAAACAGCCATTTTTTTTTAAATTTTGTTTATTTACACTATCCGTTGAATTTTCTTCTATAAATCGCCGGCCCTGCGCCGTTTGAACACACTCCCTTTTGCATAATCTAGTCTTCACCCTGTCCGTACGATCGGAGAAAATGGCCTTCATTTCGTTCGTCGGAAGAGTTCTCTTCGTTTCGGTGTTCATCCTCTCTGCTTGGCAAGAGTAAGCATCACTCCAGATCTGCACTTCTTTCTTTTTCTTAAGGGAAGTTCTTCCGAGTTCTTTTGAGGTAGTTTGGCTGCTAAGAAAAAGGCGAGAAAATTAAAATTTTGCTTTGCTTTAGTATAGAGGATTGGATCTTCCGTGCTGGAGACTTTTTATTTCTTTAGTAATCTTGTCATTCTTTCTTGAAACTTGAGTTCTTGTGAACTTTCCTAGTGGTATGTTTCCTTTAGAAGTCTGTTTGGTTGCTGAGAAAAAAAAAGTAGAGGAAATTTTGCTCAGCTGCTTTTTTGTGGATGGTTGGATCTTTCGTGTTCGTGCCTTAATTTTCTTACCTAATCGATTCTTGAATCGCGAGATCTTGTGAATTCTTTTAGTCGCCCATGCTATTTATGTTCCTCCTCATCGGTTTTTGACTGCTGGCAATGACGCTCCGTGTCAGTGTATTTATTTGGTTTTATTTACATTTAAATATTTTGGCTTTGTGTTTACAATGTTTTTCTACAATGATATTTTACGAAAGCATCAATTAGGATCAGGAAGAAGTAGGTAGCGCTTAAATTTGGTAATTTGATAGTAATTAAAGGTGGTCTATTTAATTAAGTTCTTAAACGGGTTTATTTGATCAGATCTTGATGATCATATTTAATTTCTTTCAATTTTTAAGTGGCTTGCTTACATAATAACTTTTCATTAAGGGTAAGTGAAGTTGTGATTGTTGTCGAGGATTAGGAAATTATGAATCTCTGCTCATAATGTCTCAAGAGAATGAAATTTTAAGTTATTGTTGAGGTGTTTTTTTAGAAATCTTTTATATGAGTAGTTCTTGCAATTTTGAGTTATTGTTCTTACTGCCACTTTTTCCTTCTTTGTTCTTTTGTTTTTTATAAACAATGTCTAAAGTAGTTCATCTATTTGGTCATCAAACTGATTAAATGTAGCTTTGGGAAAACATTGTACACCAGATGTTAATGAGTTTGAGTTCAGCGGTATGTTTGATTTGAGGGAAATCGAAGGGAGGGGAGGGGAGGGATGATTTTATTAACCAATTGAATTATAATGTTTGCAAATAATACAATTTTATTGATTAAAAAATCCATCCCTCCCATTCCCTTTCTTTTGTTTCCCTCAAATCAAACATGCCCTAGGCCTTCTATACTTTTTTTTCTTGGTACATCTGATGATGAGCTTTATAAGAACAGGAAATAGCCCTCCTTTTTTTTTTTTCCAAATCCCTCCCTACCTGATTTAACATTTGAACCTAAGATCTCCAACTTAGGATCTCAGGCTCTTAACCAGTTGAGCTAGCCTCTTGGGGGTCTAGGTCTTCTATACTTGTCACATAAGTTAATGCATGTTGGTGGCTTTAACTTAATATACTCTGCAAGCCAGCTTGGCTGTATTAATTGGTTATTATTGCCTTATCTTCTTTTCTTTTTTCATCTTCATGGTTACTTTATTACTTTCCTTCTGTCCATTGTTGACACCCATTGTCAGTAATGGAAGCCCATTCTCAGTAATTGCCCTCCAGAGGGGAGGGTGTTGGGACTTGGGAGGGCAATATGGATGTGGTGGTGCTTATTTTCTCTATGTCATTTTAATGAAGGAAATATTTTATCAAGTGAAAAAAAAAATGGAGCAAATATTTTTGCTGTATTTTTTTCTTGAAGAATATATTTGCCTTGCATTGCTTTGAAGTGTGAACTACTTCAGACATATTTCTAATCAATATTTGTTTATATGTGTAGGTTCAATGAATTCGGTATTGATGGTGGGCCAGCGGCAAAGGCTTTGAGGCCAAAATTTGTTGTATTCTCAAAGCATGTTTCATCTCATACGGGGTTGCAAGTTCCAGAACTTGAAGTATGAATTGCTGAATTTAATGCAATATAGCTGCCTAGTTTCTATTGTATTTCTGTGACTCGGGTCAGTGTTGTGTAAATGCTGCTAATTCTTGGAGTTTCGATTTACAGATGAAGCATTTAGTTGCTGCTGCCATTGCTTTGAAGGGTATCGGAGGTCTTCTTTTCATCTTTGGCAGCTCTATTGGAGCTTATCTTCTGGTTTGTGTTATAATTAATCTGTTATATGAGTTACCAGTTCGACCTCTGCAGAAACTAAATCTAAATCAACTATTATGTATTCTTTGTAGCTTTTGCATCAGTTAATAGCGACTCCTATATTGTATGACTTCTATAACTATGATCCTGAGAGGAAGGAATTCATCCAGCTTTTTACAAAATTCACACAGGTTGGCAATTAACCTTTATCTGGTTTCATTTTCTACTTCTTTCTTTGTTCTCTCAAGTTAATTTTATCAAACTTGTATATTGTTTGACTCAATTTTCCGTCTCAGAGCTTGGCATTGTTGGGGGCACTGCTTTTCTTCATCGGAATGAAAAACTCAATGCCAAGGAGACAATTCAAGAAAAAGGCTCCAAAGACAAAAATACTGTGAAGAGGGACAGTTGGTAATCTGAGGATATAGTTTCTTGGTTACTGGCAGTCTTGCAGCTGTCCATGATCTATTTCTGTATGATGCTTGTATCAGGGGCTTTTCTTTCTTAGATTAGGATTAAAAGAAAGGAAGTTTGCTTACTTGAAAGAGTACCATACTATTAACTACTGAGTCAATTTAAGGTTATTGAATTGAATCTCAAGGATCTTCATTTGCATAGCATTTTGCCCTTTGCTGTTGAATCCAGTTATCCAGAGACTTGCTTTACGCAAAATTGTTGTAATTTGCTGTTGAATCAAGAGACTTCAAGCATGAAACTCGAGTTCTTAATAGATATTTTTAAGAGAAGATAAATACGAGGTTGTGGTTATAGTTACTATTGAATTTGTTAAAATTATCAATAATTATTAAATTTTTATTTTAATTTGATTATTAAAAATAATTAATAACTAATAAAAAGTTAATATTTATTGTTTAAGTTTGTTTAACTTGTATTCTTAAGATACAGTTTAAGAGATATAATTAATGTTGTTTTTTAATTAATTTGCAAGAAAAAGGTAAATATTGACTTTGAATTAATTAATTAATTAAAATTATTTACGTGTTAATAATATTAAAATAAATATTAATTTTTATAATTTTTTATATAAATTAATTGTAAGAAGGTATATTTATTATATTTTTAATCTATTTTAAAACATAAATTAGACAAAATTTTATTATTTAACAAATTAAAATTAATTTATAAATAAATATTTTTAAATATTATAATTAATTATTTTAAAAAATTATAAATTAATAAAATTACAATTAAATTAATACCCTTGGTAAATTACACCGTGAGAATATCCTAGCCCTGCAGGCTTATACCATTTTTGGACAATAGGCAATGGACTGCAGGCTTGTAGTTACCATCAGAGCCGGACAGATTCTTCACTTCTGGCTTTATAATGTCAAGCTTGTTGATTTTCTTTTTTTTTTTGAATATATTTGCAAGGGGCGGTTTTCGAACCCAATCCAGAGAGGGGGAATGCACCGGAGTGGCTATTACTACTAGGCCACAAGGGCCAGGTGCTTGTTGATTTTCTATTAAGGCGGCTATAATTATAAATTGCCATTTCCACCTATGGCCCATCTAGAAAATGACCTAAGAAAGAAAATATCCAATTTCCTTGAATAGAAATAGAGTGCTTGAGATAAGACGGTATCCAGTATCCACCATATTGATTTGAATGTCAAAATCAAGAAATTTAATTTCTATGAGTTTATTGATTTTTTTTTTTAAATTGTGAAAATTAAAATTAAAGTTTTAATCTTTAATAAATTTGTATCTTATCTAATGCGGTTAGAGTTGTAAGTGTTTAAAATTTTTATTCTAAATATTACTTTAGGTTAATATTTTAAAAAATTAATTTTTATATTAATTTTTTCTATAAATTATGTGTTAATTTTAAATGAATTTAACATCTATTATAATTGTTGCCCATATGCATTTGTAAGTTATAACTAGTGAGGTCATCAAACTTCCATTTCACTGCCATAAAATTTTTTCTCAAACTAGCAATCTCTACCCACAAGTAATGTACGGATGAATACGAAAATTCCCAATTGCACCTGCACGTAAGTTGATCTTGATGATTACAATCCCATCTTTGAATATCAAATACAGAAAAAGAAAGTGTGTCTACGTGTCAAAATTAATCATAAAATTTTAAAAAAATTTTATTTCTTGATAAATCTTAGATTATAATGAAAGTATACTCGTGTATCTTATTTGGTGATTACTATATTTAAAAGTTATATTAAGAATCAACACATTATATAATATATTTATTAAAAAATTATTATTATTTTACTTAAAATTAAAAATAAAAAATTTTAAAGCACAATTATATATATAAAATATAATAATTATTGAATTAATTATATTTATATTATATTTATTTAAAACTATATTATACTTTTAAGCTTACAATTTTATTAGGCATTGAGCACTTTGACCATAGATATTAAAACAAAAAAATCTTGTAGACATAGAATATTGCCTATTTGCCTATAAAAACTCTATTTCTATTGTACTTTTATATTAAAGATGTAAAAACAAGAAAAAGAAAAAGGATATCCTCATATTAAAAATATCAAAATATCTAATCAAAATCACATATTAATTAAAATATAATGTAAGTCCAACTTAAATTATAATTAATATTTGTAATACCAAGAGGTCTTGATTTTTATTTTTATGTTTTATATTAATAGAAGAATATCCAAACCTACTCCCTCCCAAAGTATAGTCACAGAAACGGATCTACTCTTGAGCAAAATGCTAGATAAATTCACCTATAAAGTTTTTAATTTGAATAAATCACCTTAAATCTAACGTGTGACATCATCTTAGATCAGTAATTCTTTAATTTGATGTCAACAATCCATTATTAGTAACAAAATAAGTTAACAAATTGCAAATGTCAATGATATCATACACGTTAAATTTTAGTTGATTTGTTTAAATTAAAAATTTTATAGATAAATTTATCCTCATTTTTTGTTTAATGGTAGATCCATCTCAACCACTATACTTTCAGGCTGAATTTGGATATTTTACCTTCTATATTTATTTAATTATTAAGGGAACAACAATTCTAAGGTTTTCCAAGTGAATTCAAAGGATTTTTAGAAGACTTGGGATATGAACAAAAAAGACATGAAATAACAAACTCCTTTTCTGATCTTATATTGACGTCCATAAAAAATACAAGGCATCTGCGGTCTAATGCTAACATTTATAGCTCAACATTAAATTTGCCAAAGAAAGAAATAAGGGCAAACAACCTGAGTTCGACTTTTCTCACCTAATAAACAATCAAAACAGTAATTAACAGTCATAAAGGCTGGGGCAATGACTTGGCAGTTGGGATGGATGGATCAACAAAATAATGTCACGCACTGCATAGCAACATTTCATGACTTCCGGCCCCCTAGAATATTTTGTTTCTTCAATATCATCTAAGCTGCCTTTGTTGCGGGTTTCTTTTTCAGTTGCCCCTTTGGGATTGAGTTCTTCATTTCCCAGAAGAAAAGCAATGCGCCAAACATTGCAACACTCTTTCAATGATTATACAAAAACAAGGTTAGTAAGATCTCAAATGATAATATTGTTATCAAACTAAAATGCTGGCAAAACAAAGAACTCAGATATGAATTTCAAATACCTGCAAGAAATCACTTAAGAGACTCTGGAATCTGGGGTCGCTGGAGTTATAGTTGTAGAAATTATACAGAAGTGGAGCGCTGAATGCCAGGTAGACAAGCTGTTGCAAAAATATCAGAATGGAAATGTTGTTAATAATACTCATTTTCAGTTCAAGATTAAGAACCCATAAGAAAGGTGATTCTAACCAGAAGATAGGCTCCAAAAGTTTGGCCAAATACAAATAAAATGCCTCCCAGTCCTTTCAAAGCAATTGCGGTTGCGACTACCTGTCTTACCTGTAAAATGTCTTATCATCAGGGAAAAAGCACTTGCATGCAAGATGAAAAGACAAATGAAATTAATAGAGCGAATGTAAATTAGCCAGTACCCAAGAATAAAAAGAATCTTACATCAATATCTGGCATTTTCACTTTCAATTGCGCAGACATATGTTTCTTGATAAGAGTTAGCTTTGGTATCAACTCCATTGCTGCAGGCCCACCATCAATTCCAAATTCATTGAACCTGCCAATATACTTCATTAGAATCTTTGCAAATATAGTCAGATACTTCACAACAAACATTAGGATTCAAAAGTCTCACAACCAAGTTCAAAATCACAAGAGGATAATAATAACTGTAAACAAAATAATAACAGGGATTGCAAGACTTCTTGTGTATTCAAGATTGGAGAATGATTACAATTCTACCATCAAAACCAAAATAGGAAACAATTAACAAACAAAGCACCTAAACAATAAGTGATCCAAGAAATATACAACTGATCTGAATCTGTCACAGGTCATGTTTCACCATCTCAGGGTAAAAAAGAAGCATATTCTTAATAGTGTACCAAATAAAGGCACAATCCTGATTTTCCAAGAAATACTTTGAGTGCAAGACAAACAGCCACAAAATAAATAAGGTAGTTTCATAACCCACGTGTTTAAAAGCATCCCTTGAAACATGAAAGACAATTTCTTTGATTTCTTCTCTTAAATGGAAAAAAACTGCCAATATGTAGATTGCAAAAGATTGGGCCATTCAAAACGCAATGATAGTAACATACAAACCAGAATTGATGGTATCTATTTTTCCACCCAAAAAACAATCCATTCTTAAATATTATATTCAATAGCATATTGGTTCAACATGTGCATAAAAACTGAACTTGGATAGGAAAAATATTTAATCCATAACAAAGAATTAACACATTCTCGCACTAAGTAAACTCCAACAACAATATACATATTTTAGTTAAACAATTCCTAACTCTAAATCCAAAGCAAGTCAAAGAACACAATACATATTGATTCTTACATAAATTAGCTACAAAAGCAATCATCAGTAAGTATATAATTAGATTAAACATTGGACATAGTTTTACCCTCCAGAACCCATAAAAGCAAGAATGCATTAAGCTAACAGAACAGAACAGGAAAAACAATATGGAAGCTTAGAAAACAAAAACAACCCAGAAACCAAAAACAAGAATATCTGTAAACAAAAGAAATAAACCCATATCCAGAACACAGAGGGACAGGGTTCGATGCAGATCTAAAGTAGAGAGAAGGAGAGATTACATTTGCCAAGCGGAGAGGATGAAGATAAAGGCAAAAAGGAGTCTTCCGAGGAAAGAAAAGAAACCCATTTTTTTTCCCTCGATTTGTTGCAGAGAATGGAACTCGGGTTTCTGTTCTTGCCCTCCCGGAGAGTATAAGGAAAAGAACAGAGAGCTGCGGCTTTGCAATGGGTGATCTTAAATATCAGAGCATCTGTGGGATGAGATGGACACGCAAACAAACTACCGGATGTCCATTAGACCAGTTTCCGTTAATTAACGATCTTTGCTTGTGAACCAATTACATGTTTTTTATTTTTTTATTTTTTATTTTTTAAGAATATATTAAAAATTTTATTTTTGACTAATATTTTTAAAAATTAATCATTAAATTAAAAATTTTATTTATATAAATTATGTATATTAATTTTTAAATTATTTTAATAAACTTAACTATTTTATTGATTATAAAA